GGTCCAGAATACCTATTCAGAAGAGGTCAGAATAGAATACCTATCAGTTTCAGAATACCTATTCAGAAGAGGTTCAGAATACCTATTCAGAAGAGGTTCAGAATACATTCAGAAGAGGTTCAGAATACCTATTCAGAAGAGGTTCAGAATACCTATTCAGTTCAGAATACCTATTCAGAAGAGGTTCAGAATACCTATTCAGAAGAGGTTCAGAATACCTATTCAGAAGAGGTTCAGAATACCTATTCAGAAGAGGTTCAGAATACCTATTCAGAAGAGGTTCAGAATACCTATTCAGAAGAGGTTCAGAATACCTATTCAGAAGAGGTTCAGAATACCTATTCAGAAGAGGTTCAGAATACCTATTCAGAAGAGGTTCAGAATACCTATTCAGAAGAGGTTCAGAATACCTATTCAGAAGAGGTTCAGAATACCTATTCAGAAGAGGTTCAGAATACCTATTCAGAAGAGGTTCAGAATACCTATTCAGAAGAGGTTCAGAATACCTATTCAGAAGAGGTTCAGAATACCTATTCAGAAGAGAATACCTATTCAGAAGAGGTTCAGAATACCTATTCAGAAGAGGTTCAGAATACCTATTCAGAAGAGGTTCAGAATACCTATTCAGAAGAGGTTCAGAATACCTATTCAGAAGAGGTTCAGAATACCTATTCAGAAGAGGTTCAGAATACCTATTCAGAAGAGGTTCAGAATACCTATTCAGAAGAGGTTCAGAATACCTATTCAGAAGAGGTTCAGAATACCTATTCAGAAGAGGTTCAGAATACCTATTCAGAAGAGGTTCAGAATACCTATTCAGAAGAGGTTCAGAATACCTATTCAGAAGAGGTTCAGAATACCTATTCAGAAGAGGTTCAGAATACCTATTCAGAAGAGGTTCAGAATACCTATTCAGAAGAGGTTCAGAATACCTATTCAGAAGAGGTTCAGAATACCTATTCAGAAGAGGTTCAGAATACCTATTCAGAAGAGGTTCAGAATACCTATTCAGAAGAGGTTCAGAATACCTATTCAGAAGAGGTTCAGAATACCTATTCAGAAGAGGTTCAGAATACCTGTTCAGAATACCTATTCAGAAGAGGTTCAGAATACCTATTCAGAAGAGGTTCAGAATACCTATTCAGAAGAGGTTCAGAGTACTCTTCGTAGCAGTGTTAAGTTTGTTGATTGATCCTGCTTGGACCATTGGCATGGAGAGTTGTGATTGGTTGCAAGATTGGGTATGAAAATGGATAACATCAATTTATGATTGACGAAGCTTTGATTTACGTAAAATGATGTAGTTTGTGCTAATTGGTGAGTTTAATGAGTTAGCAAATGATTACCTTAACGCACGCACGCTCCATATATCTACCAGTTGATATCAACTATAGATATCAACTGGTAGATATATCTAGGTGAGAGGCGGGACCAAAGAGCCAAAGCTCAACCCCCGTAAGCACAATTAAGTGAGTACCTTCTTCCTTATTCCTAGAGAATATGACGTATATAATATTCTCAACTATGATTAGAGGAAACTTTTACAATCGTTTTGTCACGCATTTTTGCTTTTGGTCTCACAAGAATGTGGTGATCTTGATTGGTTATCTTGAGATGATTTCGGGGCTTTAGTGTCCCCGCGGCCCGGTCCTCGACCAGGCCTCCACCCCCAGGAAGCAGCCCGTGACAGCTGACTAACACCCAGGTACCTATTTACTGCTAGGTAACAGGGGCATTCAGGGTGAAAGAAACTTTGCCCATTTGTTTCTGCCTCGTGCGGGAATCGAACCCGCGCCAAAGAATCACGAGTCCTGCACGCTATCCACCAGGCTACGAGGCCCCTACCTATTCCATGGGGGTGGAATAGGTGGGGGGTCATTCCCCCCCCCCCCCCACCTCGATGGTCGAGGTCATGTCCTGTATTCAGTCCAGTTCTATTACATTGTTCCATGCTGGTTTTTGCTGTTGAACAAGTGAACAAGTTCTTCTGAACGGCGTATTTTTTAATCAATGGGTTAGTTTCTCGGTCGTCTGAATTTGCCCTGTAATCCCGGTCCTTCTCGCTGTGTAATCCCCGGTCTTTCTAGCTGTGTAATCCCCGGTCTTTCTAGCTGTGTAATCCCGGTCCTTCTCGCTATGTAATCCCGGTCTTTCTCGCTGTGTAATCCCGGTCCTTCTCGCTGTGTAATCCCCGGTCTTTCTAGCTGTGTAATCCCGGTCGTTCTCGCTGTGTAATCCCAGTCGTTCTAGCTGTGTAATCCCCGGTCCTTCTCGCTGTGTAATCCCCGGTCCTTCTCGCTGTGTAATCCCCGGTCCTTCTCGCTGTGTAATCCCCGGTCCTTCTCGCTGTGTAATCCCGGTCCTTCTCGGTCCTTCTCGCTGTGTAATCCCGGTCCTTCTCGCTGTGTAATCCCGGTCCTTCTCGCTGTGTAATCCCGGTCCTTCTCGCTGTGTAATCCCGGTCCTTCTCGCTGTGTAATCCCGGTCGTTCTCGCTGTGTAATCCCGGTCGTTCTAGCTGAGTAATCCCGGTTTTTATCGCTGTGTAATCCCCGGTCCTCGCTGTGTAATCCCCGGTCCTTCTCGCTGTGTAATCCCGGTCGTTCTCGCTGTGTAATCCCGGTCGTTCTAGCTGAGTAATCCCGGTCTTTATCGCTGTGTAATCCCCGGTCCTCGCTGTGTAATCCCCGGTCCTTCTCGCTGTGTAATCCCCGGTCTTTCTCGCTGTGTAATCCCCGGTCGTTCTCGCTGTGTAATCCCCGGTCCTTCTCGCTGTGTAATCCCGGTCCTTCTCGCTGTGTAATCCCGGTCCTTCTCGCTGTGTAATCCCGGTCCTTCTCGCTGTGCAATTCCGGTACCAGGAGGACTGGTGTACCGGTACCAGTAGGACTGGTGTACCGGTACCAGGAGGGCTGGTGTACCGGTACCAGTGGGACTGGTGTACCGGTACCAGTGGGACTGGTGTACCGGTACCAGTGGGACTGGTGTACCGGTACCAGTGGGACTGGTGTACCGGTACCAGTGGGACTGGTGTACCGGTACCAGTGGGACTGGTGTACCGGTACCAGTGGGACTGGTGTACCGGTACCAGTGGGACTGGTGTACCGGTACCAGTGGGACTGGTGTACCGGTACCAGTGGGACTGGTGTACCGGTACCAGTGGGACTGGTGTACCGGTACCTCCTGTACCCGATAATTTAATCCAATTCCAGTGGGTTGTAAACCGACAGCGCAGACTACTGCGCTACACTCTCCTTGATGTCAAGGCAGCTGAGAAATTATAAATTAATCCGGTAGTTCTCTAGATCTCTTCATCTCCATCTACCTGTGTCTCTCCGTCTCTCTCTCCCTGTTTCTTGTATTCATTTGTTTCTCTATCTTCTCCTTGCCCAGATAAACCTTTTATATATACAAAATAATGTTCTAGTTGCTAAATTTGCAACTTATTAGAGAACAACATTGCTGGTCAAGGAAATACAAAAGGAAAAATGAAAGTAGATTTTGCCAGGTTTTCTCTCTCTGGGTCATGGCTGGCCCGGGTACCACAGTGGTTTTTATTTTATGATTCTGCATAGTTTTGCGCTTATGCAAATTTCTTGAGGTCGCGAGGCCACAGGAGCAGCAGGAGCTGGTGGGTGAATGTGTTACTGCCTGGAATAACGGCGGTGTGGAACCTATACAGGTAACGAGTGTGTTGTAGTCGGTGGAACACAGTGTTTCAACGTTGGTTCCTGTGTGTGTGTGTGTGTGTGTGTGTTGAGCCTTCATGTTGTGCAGTGGCAGGGGATGGAGTTTGGTTTGAGGAGTTTGTCCTCTGAAGGCTTCAGCCTGATCTCGTAAACGTTCGACCTGATCTCAGAAACGTTGGCTGATCTCGAAAACGTTGTCTGATCTCAAGTGCTCAGCCTGGTCTCAAAAAGTGTTCAGGCTTGCTTCAAAATGTTCAGCCTGGCCTCAAAAGTGTTCAACCCCATGGAGATTAGATGGAGATTAAGAGATCTAGATTGGAGGGCATCTAGATTGGAGGGCATCTAGATAAGTGACCAAAACAATGAATGTGTCGATTCGCGTATCGATGAAGAAAACATTAAGCTTTAAGCTGTAGCCAAATTATGTGCTGTAAAATGTGGAAAAATTCTTGAAGCTGAAATGAAACATTTTCGCGTTTGGAGTTTGCATGAAAACCTTGCAGTAATGCCTGAGTAAGAACCAGAACTAAACTAGATAAGAGACTCATTCTTACCTGTTTGACTACCTTAAGAAGGTAGTTTGTTCCTCAGACGTCTAAGACATGGTGCTTCAACTAGATCGGATCTAGTAAATTAAGAAAACATTCTAAGATTCCCGGAATGTTATAGGTTACGAATGATAGAAGATAGACGAGACAAATGTGTTATGGAGAAGAAAATATCCGGACGTCTAGATTGGAGGGCATCTAGATTGGAGGGCGTCTAGATTGGAGGGCATCTAGATTGGAGGGCATCTAGATTGGAGGGCGTCTAGATTGGAGGGCATCTAGATTGGAGGGCATCTAGATTGGAGGGCGTCTAGATTGGAGGGCATCTAGATTGGAGGGCATCTAGATTGGAGGGCGTCTAGATTGGAGGGCATCTAGATTGGAGGGCATCTAGATTGGAGGGCATCTAGATTGGAGGGCATCTAGATTGGAGGGCATCTAGATTGGAGGGCATCTAGATTGGAGGGCATCTAGACTGGAGGGCATCTAGACTGGAGGGCATCTAGACTGGAGGGCATCTAGACTGGAGGGCATCTAGACTGGAGGGCATCTAGACTGGAGGGCATCTAGACTGGAGGGCATCTAGACTGGAGGGCATCTAGACTGGAGGGCATCTAGACTGGAGGGCATCTAGACTGGAGGGCATCTAGACTGGAGGGCATCTAGACTGGAGGGCATCTAGACTGGAGGGCATCTAGACTGGAGGGCATCTAGATTCGAGGGCATCTAGCTTCGAGGGCATCTAGATTCTAGTTGTTGTTTCTTCACGAGGAAAAAGATACTAGACAACATGCTAGAACTAATTGAGTGTCACGAGTGACTGTTTCAAAATTATGTTGCTTCTTTCCTGTTTCAAAATGCAAGAACGGGAGCAGTGTACAGTCGACCTTGCCTCTGGTAATGTCGTCAGTTTGTGTGTCTCCAAAATAGTAGCCGTCACTCGTCTTATCGTCTTCGTCACTCGTCTTAGCGTCTTCGTCACTCGTCTTATCGTCTTCGTCACTCGTCTTATCGTCTTCGTCACTCGTCTTATCGTCTTCGTCACTCGTCTTATCGTCTTCGTCACTCGTCTTATCGTCTTCGTCACTCGTCTTATCGTCTTCGTCACTCGTCTTATCGTCTTCGTCACTCGTCTTATCGTCTTCGTCACTCGTCTTATCGTCTTCGTCACTCGTCTTATCGTCTTCGTCACTCGTCTTATCGTCTTCGTCACTCGTCTTATCGTCTTCGTCACTCGTCTTATCGTCTTCGTCACTCGTCTTATCGTCTTCGTCACTCGTCTTATCGTCTTCGTCACTCGTCTTATCGTCTTCGTCACTCGTCTTATCGTCTTCGTCACTCGTCTTATCGTCTTCGTCACTCGTCTTAGCGTCTTCGTCACTCGTCTTAGCGTCTTCGTCACTCGTCTTAGCGTCTTCGTCACTCGTCTTATCGTCTTCGTCACTCGTCTTAGCGTCTTCGTCACTCGTCTTAGCGTCTTCGTCACTCGTCTTAGCGTCTTCGTCACTCGTCTTAGCGTCTTCGTCACTCGTCTTAGCGTCTTCGTCACTCGTCTTAGCGTCTTCGTCACTCGTCTTATCGTCTTCGTCACTCGTCTTAGCGTCTTCGTCACTCGTCTTAGCGTCTTCGTCACTCGTCTTAGCGTCTTCGTCACTCGTCTTAGCGTCTTCGTCACTCGTCTTATCGTCTTCGTCACTCGTCTTATCTCCTGCAACTAAGAACTGATATTGAGAACACAAAGTATAGGAAAATGATGCAGAACTTTTAGGAAAAAAGTACTCTGCTATCACCTATCTCAATGAAAAACTTTTGTCTATCTCTTATAGTTGAGTAACTTTGGCAATTAAGTGGTAGATATTGATTGCTAGACCACACACACTAGAAGGTGAAGGAACGACAACGTTTCGATCGACTTGTCCAGGACGGACCGAAACGTCGTCGTCCCTTCACCTTCTAGTGTGTGATTCTTCAGCCCCGTTATTGTGACTCCTCGCCTGCATAAGTGGCAGAGAGTTAAAGCATTAAAGAAACGGGAATAGGAAATACGACAAATTAAGTTCATTGAATCTCTCTGATGATGATCTAGCAGTAACAATAACGGGCGACGGTAGAGCGACGGTCTTGCTTCATGCAGGTCGGCGTTCAATCCCCGACCGTCCACAAGTAGTTGGGCACCATTCCTTTCCCCCCGTCCCATCCCTAATCCTTATCCTTTTGGGGATAATGCCCTCTTGGGGACTGTAAGCTCCAAAAAACCCAGTATATAGGCAAGACAACAACATCTCTTTCTAGGCGTTTAACGATGCATAAGCAACAGGGCTCCATTAAGGAACATATAATCTCTTCCCACAACCAAACCATCGCCAGAGAAATCCTAGTAAACAACACAGAAATCATCGATAGATACAGCGATAGCAGACGGCTTGACGTTTGCGAGGCACTACACATTAAAAAGTCAACACCAGCAATCAACAGCCAATTAATGCACAACTATATTCTACCCACCTCAAGACTCCGCTCCAATATAGAAGCATCAAGAAATATGGACCAATAGGCTTTCTACAAACACTTCCATTCAGTACCCATTGTTTTGTGTTCTGTCTTGTGTTGATGAAATTAATACCCTATTAATGCCACCTCACCCCATCCACCTCACCCAAATGTAGATATAAACAAATCGGAGATGTGTAAGTTCTATTCAGTTGTGTATGTGTAAACTAAAGTCTTTGAAAATGTAATAAGTTTTACGAAACGCGCTCAAGTGTCGCGTCAGACTAGAAATAAAAATGAATTTTGGAGAATTGATTTTTGAATTACCACCAACAGTGAAAAGAAATGTACGAAAGATCGAGAAAATTCGTGTTAGAATTATTAATCTTACTTTTTCGGTCATATTTAATATATATATATATATATATATATATATATATATATATATATATATATATATATATATATATATATATATATTGTGACGGTAACGCGTGGTGTTCGGCTGTTTAAGGCTAGGGGTATGGCCTCGTCACATAGTTATAAAAAAAAATAGAAAAAACTGGAACTTCGTCTGTGGTAAGGTAAGGAGAAGAGACACAAAACACAAGTAAACTTTAACAATGAAATTTTAATTACGTTAAATAAATCAAAACATGAAAATAATGCACAAACAAATTCTTATAATAAAATCAATCAATCAAAATAATAAGAATACTTAAATGACACAATGAAAAGTTACGTTAAGGCAAAATAACAAGAAGTGCAACACAAAGGTAAGTGGGAGGTGCTGGAATATTGGCTTAAAGCCACCACCTCTCTCAGTACACGCTAGAGTCTAGCTGGGAGGTGTGATGGCTACGAAAGCACTGAACATTCTGGAGACTGATGTTGGGGCGACCCCAGACATCAGGTAGTATTGGGGGGGGAGTGCAGGTGCAGCCAGACCGGCGACCAATCAGCGGAGCCGTAGCGATCAACGGGTAGTTTGGTGGTTGGAGTTCGAACAGGTGGCTGGCTGCATACGTTTTTGCTCACCCTGGCAAGCCTTGTTGGTGTTGTTGTCGTTGTTGGACATCTCTTCCATAGTCTTTTTATATAATTGTGAAGACGTAATTATGGAGGGAAGAGCAGGCTCAATCTCTTGAAGGAGATTATCGTCACAACTCTCCCCCGAAGCCTGCGGTTCTGGAAGAAGTACGTCGTTATGTGGTGGAGTAATGGATGGAGTTGCTTCTACTTCATAAACTCTGGAGAGATCATGGGCTAAGATGTTGTCAGACTCTTGGTATAGCGTGTCTCCAGGTTGAATTTCTGCAGTTAGCAAGCCCATAGTAGAAGACGTTGAGATGAGAAGTGGGCGTGCTGCAGGAGGTGTAGGGTGGTGTGGTCCGTATTGATGGTGGACCGAGCACTTTTCAGGTGTGGAGTGAAGTGCTGAAGCTTCAGGATGAGGAAGAGTAGCTCCTTGCCAATTGTTCCGTCGTTCCTTGTAGCAGTAGTCGCTGACAGGTGTATTCTTCTCGCCTCGTTGCTGCATCACGACACCACCATCGTCGGTACCATTGGCGTCGACATGGAGGATGTAGGGCTTATCTGACGAGGTGAGAGTGGAATTAGAAGAGGGCATAGGAGCACGAGTATTATCCTGAAAGCATTTGGGAAGATCATTAAGGATTTCGGAATTAGAAAGCGCTGACTCCTTGTCAGTGCTTTCGGGAGGAGAAGCTGGGAAGGTCTCACTGTGGATGTAGGGTTCTGTGAATGTGGAATAGTTAGTCAAGACAGTGGGAGGAGTACCATTATATTGCTTCAGGAGGTTGACGTGGCACAGCTGGGTCTTCCGCCGCCTATCTGGAGTCTCTATGACGTATGTGTTGTTGCTTCTGCACTCTTTGACGCAGTAGGGTCCTGAAAATTTGTTTTGTAAAGGTGAACCTGGGATAGGAAAATAGGCAAGGACGAAGTCTCCCGGCTTGAATTTTCTTACTTTGCTGGTCTGGTCGTAATGAGTCTTCATTCTCACCTGGGCTTTCAATAGATTATCATGGGCAAAGCGGTGGACTCTCTCTAGAATGTGTTGAAGGTTTTGAAGAAACTGGGGCACATTCTGATGCTCACTGAAGGTGGCATCTCTGAGAGAGTCTTTGAAAGCCTTAAGGGGAGTACGGCACTTACGGCCGTAGAGCATCTCATAAGGAGATACTCCTAGGGACTCATTGGGGAGACTTCTGAAAATACACATTATTAGGTCAATCTGCTTATCCCAATCCTTTGAGGTTTCACTACAAAACTTTTTCAAGAGTGCTTTGATGGTCTGATGACTACGTTCAAGAGAACCCTGTGAAGCAGGATGATAGGGGCTGGACAATACCTGTTTGATGTTGAACTCCTCCAGTGTCCTTTTGAAGAGATCACTGGTGAAGTTGGTGCCACAGTCACTTTGAATCTCCCTGGGAAATCCGTATTGAGTGAAGATCTTCAATAGATGTTTGATAACCGTAGCAGCCGTGATGTTCTTCACTGGAACTGCTATGGGAAATCTGGTGGTAGGACACAGGATGGTTAGGATGTAGGCGTTACCTGAACTGGTCCGAGGTAAAGGACCAACACAGTCTATTATGAGTCTGTGGAAAGGTTCCGCAGGCACCTGTATGGGAATCAGTGGTGCTCTGGGAATGGAGACGTTCGGTTTGCCTGCCATCTGACATGTATGACACTGTTTTACGTACTGTTTGACGTTATTTACCATACCTGGCCAGTAGTAGTCTTGGCGAATCCCATGGTAAGTCTTGTTGAAGCCGTAGTGGGAGAATGCTCCGTGGGCCAGGTGTAGAATAGTGGGCCGCAGGCTGGTGGGAATCACAAGTTGTTCGATGTTGGCCCAATCGTCCTCCTCCTTCAGTTTACTGGGTCTATATCTGCGGTAGAGCAAGTCGTTCTCTAGGAAGAACCCAGGAATACTGTCGGGTTGAGTCTCAGCCTGGAAAAACAATGGTGTTAAAGTAAGATCTTCCCTCTGCAACTTACGGAACTCCAACTTGGTCAGATGCGGGGGTAGTTTCTGAGGGTCTTGAGGGACAGCGGTAGCAGTAGAGTCAGCTGGCTGTGGACGTGCGGCTTGTGCACGGGTGGTCACGAGAACCGGAGGAGAAACTTCATCACTCTCTTGAACCTCTGCTGGAACATACTCGAGAATAGGATTTATTGGCACAGAGTTACACACCTGGGGTTTGTCCATGACGACCAGGTTGGTCGGTTGCAGGTCTTCTGCCAAGTCGTTGCCTAGGAGAAGTTGCACTCCAGGCATGGGAAAAGGCTTTTCCCTGACGGCGACTTGGACTTCCCCGTTCACGTAGGGACAATCCAGGTGGACTCTGGCGAGAGGGTATGGAGTGGTAGCAGTGAGGTCAGTGATGAAGACTGTTTCCCCGGTGTAGACTATGTTGGGCACAGCCGACTTCAAGATGATCGATTGTAGAGCCGCTGTGTCCCTCAAGATCTTCAATTTGAAACGTCCCTCCGGATTTGAACCGTTGGCAGAGACAGTTCCAGTATACAGGTGGTTACTGAAAAGAGAAAGATCATTAACATCAACACCAACATTCATCACAGGCTTACCGGACTTAGGAGGAGTTGGTTTGGGTCGTTGTTGGTCAGTGGTTCCCTTGTATTGAGACTTACCACACTTGTCTATGGTATGTCCATAGAGTCTACAATATTTGCAGTACAGTTGTGAACCAGCTTGATCGGGGCTCACCTTCTCGTAACTGTACCACGACTTCTTACTGGAGGATGGTTCAGGTGTCAGCCGGTGGATGAGGCTGTAAGTGTCAGCCGACTTAGCACACTTCAGGTAGTCGGTTTCTTCTTTATCTGCTAAGTAGAGGCGGACAGGAGGCGGCACACGTCTCAAGAATTCTTCAACAAGCATCAGGTTGACGAGTTCTGCAAAAGTAGAGACATGTGCTGCTTCCAGCCATTTCATGAAATACCTCCGTTTCGTGTTAGCAAACTCGAGGAAGGTAGTGGTACTTGCCTTCAGGTGGTCACGGAATTTCCTTCTATAACTTTCAGTAGAGAGGAGGTAGGCGTCCAACACTGCTTGTTTCAGAGTGTAGTAGTCATTCTCAGACGCCAAAGTACTGAGTGTGACTGCAGCTCTACCTGTAAGATGGACTCTGAGAAGTCAACCCGTTCTCGCAAATTCGTAAAGTCAATTATTGACTTA